TCAGAAACATAAAAATAACTCACCCACAGGCTTGGACACGCCACTGTACTAACAGAAGCTAAATTTGCCAGGCCATAACAGCCAACATTTACATTACTTCACTGCAAATACTCAGAGTAGTCAGGAAAGGAGGAGAAATCCAAATGGGACTTTTTCCAAAGGCACTGCCTGACCTCTTCACTCATTCTACTTTGCATGGCTTTCTCATTAACGTGTGAGCTACCACAGAGCTCCTCTGGCACTGGCCAGGAATCAGCCCCATGGGCCAGGCACTATATGCATGCAGACAACACAAGGAGAGCTCCTGCTATAAGCACAAAAGAAATTACCTTCAAATTTATTAAGTACCATCAGGGAAGGAAAATAAGGAGAACAGTGTACATGCATGTTTAATAGGAATGCTTTTCCCCTATGATCAGCATGTCTTTCAGGATACATCAGCCCTAGCATTAATTCTCTTATCATTTAATTGCATTGTAGCTCCGCCACATAATCCAGAAGATGGATTCTCGCCAAAGGGCAACCTGCAAATTCACTACAAATATCACTCCAGAATACGTGGACAAAACTAAAAACTGTAGGACCCAATGTGTGTACATCAGAGGAAGAAAAAGCCACATGATGCTGAAAAAAATACCCAAGAGACCAAAGGAATAAACTCTAGGGCAAAGGTGCAATACAGACAATGCAGAGTAAAGAGAAACATCTTTCAATCAATCAAGGCAAGAGTAATATTTAATTTGAATTGAGTGAGAAATAAAGACCACAGCCTGCAATCTGACAAAATCTGTGGCATCACAAAGAATAAAAGAAATTATGGGCATCTATGGATAAGGATTCTCAAGGCTTTTGGTCCTGGTTCAATTAAATACAGCCACCACTGCACAGGTACAGTCTGTATATGACCAACTGAGACACGAAAAGTTTAAAAGAAATGAGACAACAACCCGCTACACTTTTTAATTTATTATGGGAGCAGAGGGTTCAAAATGCTGAAAAATGAAAACAAAAAGTTTCAAAAAATTAGGATGTTTACACTACTTCCAGTCACTGGGAAAGTATCCTGTGCAGTTATCTTAGACAGATTTAAAGGTACTATAGAGAACAATCTCTACTGACAAACACACTCATATAGCATCTTTGTTGACATACTACTGTACAGCTACGTAATGAACAGCAGCTTTCACTAGTCCTGATTTTCCACTAGACATTTAATTGTATAGAGAGAATCACTGTGTCACATGCTATGCACCTATACAGATCACAAGAATAACTCCGATAATCAAAAATCTGCATTGGAAAGCACAGTGGCATAGGAGAAACTGGGAATTAATGGACTGGGTCAGCAGTAACACCTGCCACCAGGAAAGTCAAGTACTATTATCTCATGATCTTGTTTACGTTCATGAGACACTTCTGTCATGAACAACACATTAATGTACAAGGAAAAGTGTTGAGTTTAGAAACTTGGCTTACTTATGAGACTGAGGTAACCTGAAAAATCTAGCTAAACATAAGCTGTCAAGGCCGAGTGTCAAGCAAACTCTGCTATGCATGCAGTTCCCATTAATCTAAGTTGAGGTTGGTCATGCTATGGAAAAAATGACTTGCAATGCAAGTTACATGTAAGAAGCAAGAGATATGCTTAAAAGAGAATACCTTAAAATATAATAGACTACTCAAAAAAAAACCACGGCTGCTGATTAACAGATAACCCAGACAGACTATATGGGCAAATATAAGCTTATGCTGACAATGTCCCTGACTTTGAAAAGTCAGAGCCACAGTTAAGCGCAACACAAAGCCCATGGTAGTAAATCCCGCTGAGAAGCAGCCAAGGCCCCTGGAGACAAATCCACAGGCATATACCTTGGATCACACTTCACAGCTGTATTGATTGGAGCTAACTTTTTTTTTAAATCTGGACTAAGATCAGGAAAAATGAAGCCAGGTTAAGCACAACTGGCCCACTGCAGAAGGAAAGGATGATGACAAAAGCAACAAGTTGCTGTAAAACTGATATGCAGTATATGAGCAGAGAAGGGCATGGATTTGCTCTGCAGAGCTCATGATACAAGTTACATACTCGAAGCTGCGTTATTTCTGCACAAAATTTAAAATTGTTGAGAGGAAAAAAAATACTTTAAAAAGTATTTTGAAGTCTTGGCAAACAGCAAATACTCACGTTCAGCAATTTGCTGCACAGGAAAGCCCAGGTAGAAGCTGAATTCCACCACAGACAAATTTCTTAGCTGCTCACTGACTTCGGACCCATTTAGAAAACCATATCTATCTCGGATGGCAAAAACAATGCTCACAGGGCCTTGCCGAAACGTTGTCCCAGGCCTACTCAGAGTTATATTCAGTATCTGAAAAGACAAGATTGAAGCACAGTCAGCAAAATCAAATCCATTCCCTCCTTGACAGTCTTTTTTTTCCCCACCCTAATATGAAGAGGGAGGAGGGCAATTCACTTGAAAACAGAGGAACATCTATTCCAGGTTGTTTCAGCTGAGTCTCAGAAGAGGCAAAATTACACAGGAATTCCTCTTCCAAGAGCTATACTTTGAGGTCAGTCATAATCCAGAATGATCTGAAAGCTACAGTCCAGAAAATTATGAAAAATACCTTGAGAGACAGTCAGCAAAATAACTCTACCAATAAAGAAGTCTTAGATGAATACTAAACTGCACAGAACAGACAGGAAGAGACCATGGTACAGAAACATTCTGAAAATGGATGTTCTCTTGGTAAAAACCTCCTGCACCATGCACGCCCAGATCCTACCCCTGGTTAGAAGCCTTATTTTGGCACCAACGTACACAGCAACTGTGTTCATGTAGACAGGTATACCTCTTTCAGACTGTAAGGAAGTATCTAAAATAAAAGCTTGCTAAGCTAATAGTCCAAGAAATCGTTTTGTGTCTTCTGTCTTCAGTCTCTCCAGTCACATTGTGCCATTCAGTTGTACAGTTCTGAGCATTTCACTACATGTACTATATAGTACTTTAGGTACTGTAAAGTTCATGTTGTTTTTCCTGCTATGATTTTATTTTAGGGTAAAACAGATGAGCATTTATGGTGCCAATTAAATAACATGATAAAATTTTTATTAATTTTGGCACTGCAACAAAGCTAGATTAAACTTAAGAATTCAGACAGAAGAGGGAGTTGGTCTCATTAAGTTGAATTATTGACTTTCCAGGGAGTTTTAACCTCTGCTATGTGACTCAGTACTCAGCACATATGCAATACATTTCATATATGAAGTTCCAGTAGCAGCTGCCATGGACACCATATACTGCTGTAAGTACTTCTAGACTTCAGAAGCAACTAGCGTGTTTGCTCACATACTGGCAAAGTACACATAACTCCTAGTACACGTAATTCCCTCATAGGATCCCTTGAGTGCCAATGAGACCTGAAAGTTGTCTTCCAGCAAAAACATTCTAACCACACCCTACCCTGTCATCGTAAAATCTGATGGGAATGACTTTGATAAGGGTTGGGGCAACCTTTACATGAAAAGCTACAAACCCTATTATATTTATTTTGGAAATAAATCATCATCCTGGATAATTTTTTTCAAAAAGCTTAAAACCAGAGGGGTATGTGGCGGCCATATTATTTTGTAGGGGCAAAAAAATCCTGACTTCATAATAAAGCCTAACAGTTCTACATGATCTAGATAGCAAGCAGTAGCCAGAGAACACATAACTCATTTTACTGGCTGGATGAAACACAGGACAACCAAAGGTGAGGAGAAAAAGGGACAGACACAAAACATGCTAGTCTTCTTACCTGCACAGTGAAGTTGTAGAATGGCTGGTGTTTGCTGACCTCCAAGAAGGCCATTGTCAGTCCTTTCTCAATGCGCTGGCTAAAGTTGCAGAACCCCACATCCACATTCCGAGGCACAAACTGAAGCACTGAAGGCAAAGGGTACACGTTATTCCTACAGACAAGTAGTTCCATGAGAGAGAAAAAACCAAGCAAGTGTATCTACAGGGCTATCACTTTTACATGGAATTCAAGACATATTCACTGGGTAAAAATACAGTAGAAATACATTTTGTGTTGGTGCAGTAAACTCATTAATATCTGTTGCAGCAGTAATTAGATTACTGAAAGATATTAGTGACAAAATACCCACTGTTTCCTCTTGCATACTGAAAGACCTTCACTACATACATGTGCCTAATTTTACACGACTTGAACACTGAATCAGCCACACTGTAATCCTTACTACCCAACAGATCAATGAAAAAAGCAACAAATGTCTTTTTCTTGTACTGTTTGGCTTGTCTAAAAGGCCACATATTGAGTCCATTAATAAACGCCAGTTATCAGTCTAACACTTTCAAAACACTTAATTAGCAAACAATCTCTTAAATCTAGATCCATACACCTTAAAGTCTGTCACAGGAGAGAAAGAAAGAGCACAGGAGAGAAAGAGTGAGCATAGAGGAATGTGAGTAGGCACACAGACCTTAACTACATGCACATCTGTGGATTTCCAGATACAGTCTATGATTAGGTTACAGACCCTAACAGCAATGTTATACATGGTTCAAGAACAGAAAATGTCTACTGTGTATCTACATAACCATGATAAGCAGCGGAAAAAGACATCACACCTGCACAATTAAAGAAGCAATGTCTTACCATACAGTTATTAACAGAGAAGAAACAACACATGAAACATGCCTGACAGAAGTACCATGTGTGACATTCATTAACTCTGCCTATATGCTAATCCCTGTCAGTACCTCATTGCACAGTCAACCAACCAGGCAGGTGGTTTTGTTATGCAAACAGTGCCTGAAGAAGCTTTTAAATTATACCATTGACTCTCAAAATCTACTACATGGGTAATATTTTACTTTAGATTAATCATGAACTTCACATAAACTGCTGCTATGGCTGCAGCAGCAGCTGTGGAAAGCTGAACAGTACCTGAGCAATCGCTCCTATTCACCAATTCTCCTACACTACATCGTTGTAGCATTCTACAAACTAATGTTTAAGGTAAGCATAATTTGAAACTTGACCTCACCAATTCTCCTACACTACATAGTTGTAGCATTCTACAAACTAACGTTTAAGGTAAGCATAATTTGAAACTTGACTCAAGTATTATAAAGTAGCTGCACTGTGATTTTATGAGTAAATGTTTCACTGATTTTTTTTTTTTCCCTTCTCACCTTCTGAAGCAAGAAAAAGAAGACACCTATTTTGCAACACGCCACAAAAAATCTTCTGAAAAAATAATTAAATTATGGCGTTAACTGTTTACAATTTATCATCTCTCAACCACAGATCTGGCAAGTATTTCACTAAAAACAAAGAATTAAGATTCACAGCAGTAGAACACAGGGCTTTAACTCAACCCTGTGTACTTAATCGTAAGTGAAGAAGCGTGACCCCATACAAAGCTACATGTCCTCGTCTTCGTGTCAGGAAGAACTCACCTGTCTGAACTTGGAATCTGTTATCTGGCACAGTGAAAGACGGATGCAGTGAGAGGATCACGGGGGCCTCACCACGAAGAAGACTGCTGTTCACAAGCACATTTATAACAGCTACGGCCGTGTAAACAAAAGGACCTGATGTCACCAAGAAAGCAAATTTGGGGGAAATTTTATAAACCTATTAAAAAAAAAAAGAAAATTTTTTTTTAAAAAAACTCCTTCAATGTGAAATTTGACAACACTTTATACCTACATAGTATCACACATTTCAAAGCCACATCATAAAGAGGTAGGAAAATGCAATCTTTATTTTTCAGAGAGCGAGCAAAAGCACAAACACTCTGATAATGCTGTGCCTTGCAGCCTCTGCTCCAGTGCATCAGAGAGACGACTCCCCTGTGTTAGGTCCACCTACTAGTATCTCCTCAGTACAACACACCAATTTCAACACTTTGAGATTTATTACATCCCAGCACAGTAGCACTCCCTCTTGCCTGCATTACCCTGGAGTACATAAGAGTTTCCATAGAAAATTGCTTTTACTTACTGAACCACTTGCATATCTTCTGCATCTCAGACATATACTGCACAACAAATACATCCTATACCATTTACGTGTTATGCAAGAAGCAAAACACACATAGCCTATTTTATGGATATAATTTTCACCCTCAAGAATACTTTCCTCCAGAAAACACTTCTATCTACTTATTTCAGCACAATTACCACAATTACAATACTTCTTTTCCAGTTCTCCTCCTGACTTTGAGCCTTCTTAAAAACCCCGAGGAGCCTGAGTTATCATGCAAAAGAAATGAGACTAAGTTAAATATAAACCTAAGTGAATGTTTCCATGTAGACACTCTTATCCACCATTTCTTTGTCACCTAAGTAAAAACAAGCTGAAAGGTTTTATTTATTTAAACATATTGCAGTATCTTCTTTCCTTCAGCGAAACTCTCCCAATATCAAGGACACCTGCTTCCCCAGCATTATTTTCTTCCTCCTTGGTTTACTCTCCCAGTTTGCTTTATTTGCCTACGACAGTCACATTAAAATATTCTGAGATGTCCAACATGATGACCTTACAAATAAACAATCTAAACCAGAGACCCAAAGGTTCTGATAATAGTGCACCTCTTACATGAAGAGATGCTAACCACTTGCAGGCTTTTTGCTGATGAAGGGTATGTTAGATATCCTCAGCTTCAGGATCAGCCTTACAGAAAAGCACAGTGCTACTTAAATTGTGACCCACATGTTTCTTACTTGTATTTCTGCAACAGCATAAAGTGATGGAAATTGCTGTTTAGATGAGACAGCAAGAAGCTCTTTCCTGTCCTCTAAAAACCATGCATTTCAAAGAGATCATCTTCACCAGAAGAAACTACCTCAGTAGAAGAAGGAAATTAAAAAAAAATTCCTATGCTGCTCATTGCTCCCTTCTTCCTTCTTGGTCCACAAAATTTGCAGCATCCAGCTTTTATTTTAAATGGATTTAGACCCAGAGAACTCAGATTTGTTTGATATGAATAATATGCATAGCTCTTTCCAGTTCCTCTTATCTGAAATTTTATCCTCTTATCTCAGGATGAAATGATCTCTGCAGCTTCAGTTTGTCAAATGGAAACAGGAGTTATAACAGGTAAGACATGCCAAAAGAAAGTTGCCCATTACTTGCAAAGGAGACTACTTAAAAGGCAAGAAAAAGAGGAATTAGAATTATAAATCTCAGTGACAATTTTCAGGTGATTTCTAAAGCAATATAGGCCAAGGAAGAGAGGACTAGTGTAGCTGGCCTATACTTATGCACTAGAGTTTGGTATTTCAGAGAAGAAAGCAAGCCCCTGACAACTAACTCAGCTGTCTCCATCTCCAACTTGTTGCAATGCACCACAGATGCACCGAAAGCAGCCTACCCCGAACACTGTCTGGAATTTTGCTTCAACTTTTTTGTCTTAACATCTAACACTGTTTCCATTTTGTGCTTCACTGCAGGAGAAGAGTGACAGCAGCTCCAGAATAATGAAAATAAAAAACCCCACAACTGTTAAGAGTAATTTTGAGATAGGTAGATTAGAACCACTACAGGTCAAAACAATAGTTACTGCTGCCTGAGATATTGCAGGGGTGTCTAGAGTTAGCTCTCTATAACCTAATTCAAATGACAGGAATAATACAGCCACACCAGCGTCATGCTGTCTACAAGCGATTTCACAGAGAAGTATGCAAAGTTCCCTAGGACAGATGAGCACAGCTCATGACTCTTGGTTGATGAATTAGAATAGCTCCTCTTGGCACAGCTCTAATAGTTCACAAACCCAGCTGTCCAACCCTCTCTTAGAGGTTTCACGTCTGCTGCCGGGACAGTTAGATGCTAACAAATTAGCTAGCTGAACCACCCCATTTTAGAATGCCACCTATTAAAGTAAACAAGCACAAATTTCTTATATTAAATGAGTGCAAATTTCTTATCTTAACACTTTGAGCCATAAAGCTGGAGAAGCATGCAAAACTCCATGTGCACTTGGGAGCCATTCCCACAGCGAAAGCAGAAACCTTCAGTAGGAGCAGAAAACCCTTACACTGCCTCAAGCTAAGCTTCTCTAAAGTGCAACAGCTAATCCAAATCTGCTGTTTCCCGGACACAACCTATGCCATTCAAAGCTACCCTGACAAGAGAGAGCGCGTCTAGTACAAAAAGTTTTCAAGCCTCGATTTGCTAGGGGCTAGAAGAATACTAGGGGAAAACACCATTGTATGCTTACTCTGTCCCTTATGATGTTCCCTAAGCATTTGCTATTGATAACCGTCCACTAAAACATGTGATTAGATGCACCTTTTCTACAATCCATGCCTACACTCCACTGTGCACACATCTGGCAGAAGCATAAGCGAGCGATATCCTCACCACCACCTCACTAAGCATCCTGTAAAGAGACTGCAGAGAGCATTTAACTTCCTGAAGATGGGCTACAAAGCCTCACAGGTCTTAAGAACGAAACAAAGCTTCTGCTTCTACATACATTAGGATCCTAAGGCAACAATTCTCTCACCATTTTATACACCTAAATGGTACCAGCCAGAATTTCAGCAGCAATGAGTAGTGATGACCCCAGTGCAAGACCACAAGGTGGCATCTTTGAAAGAAGTATTTAACTACCTCACAATGAACTGATCACCTTAGCTTGAAGGCAGAGGTTTACTAATTTTGGACTACAGAAACCAATAGGCTAAGGACAGGCCCCAAATAGCACATTAAATACATCAACAAAGTGGCTGAGGTATACATTATACTGCATAATAAAATTTCCAAGCACAAATGAGGCCGGCAAGAAGCTTTTTCCTGTTGGCACTAATGTAATGGCACCAGGGGTCCTGGCAGCAAGTCACTGCCAACACTATTTTATTTCACATCCCAGTGCAAAAAAGTTACGTCAAGGGAACATTGTCCAACAGATCTTACCCAAGTATCATAAGGTTTACATTAGAAAAAGTTGACAAAAATTGCTCTTATTCAAACAATAGGGTCTCACCCTTTTACAGATGCAATACCTTGAGATCAACTGGAAAGAACTTCAAAATTTTAGGTTATTCTCACTTCACTGTAAGGACTTTTGCTAGGAAAAAACTGACACAAGTTGTTTTCATTAGGCAGGATTCAAGCCTGCCTCCTTTTTTTTTTGTTCCACTTCAACGACTCTGAATGTTTGAAATAATAAAGAAGCAGAGACCAAAGTTTCAACCGAAAAACTTGGAAAAAAAAAAGTTTTAATTCTCCTTTCAATGTTAAACTTGGTTTGCACATAAAGTGAGCAGCAGTTATATCCATCATTGCATGGATTTTATTTTTAAAGCATACATTACTACCAAGTTAAATTTAACAAGACTGTCTCCTGATTTACTGTGCATTACATCACAGCAAGGGAACAACATCTGTGAGTTGTAATAGGAGACACTGTAAAAAAGCAGCTTAGAGAAGTGCACTGCTTTACCATAACTTGCAAATGTACACACGGTTCCTGAGTACTCTCAACTAACAAAAGTCAGGTCTGTTTGATTAATTAAGTTCAGTAATATAGACAAATTCTGTTTAAAATTTTGCATCACATCACCATTAAACATGCCAATATTACAGACAGCTCTTTATTTAAAGTAAGTTTTGCTACTACCGCACCATTAGAGGTGAAGACATTTGCTAGTGATTATTTTTAGTGCAAAACCCATGCCCAAGGCATCACTAAAAGAACACATATGATAGCAGCATTCTAGCATAAAATAAGCATAACTGATTCCACGGAGATGTTTTCTCCTTTCAATAAAAAAGAATTTGCAAAGAATGAAGCTGGACTAACTGCATTATTTATAAAACCAGTTGCTTCGAGCAGCCTTAAGGCCACAATATCCTATTGAGAGCTTTACAAGGCAAAAGTGGGCATGAAAGGAAGGAATTTAAAGGGTAAAAATATAAAGAAGCAAGATATCAAATGTTCGCTCCTATCAACCTTCAAATATTTAGCAACAGATTTTGTCTTACTGTTGTTACTATTAAGAGGGTAAGCGCTTCCATATTATTGAGGTGTATATGGTCATCAAAAACTAGTGTCATGAACTTTTGACTTCTACTTGACTAGGCCAGTTTGCACAACCTGAAGCTATAATTCACAAACCAGAAGAAAAATCTCTTATTTCAAAAAAACTAAAAAGCTTATGGGCAGGTATTGCTGAAAGAACCTAAAGTAAACATAATTTATAGTGGCAGCTCACTGTGGATGAAGTTTGGCAGAAATTTGTAATGCTCCTATCTTAACTGGGTAGTAGAGAGCTACATTCTCAAACATCAGACAGGAGTTGTTTAATTACTGAGTGCAGTGATGATGGCAGGAGCTGTCAAAACACCATTTCCCCACACAGATTGTCAAGAAGCTAGAGGCACCAAGGGATTCTGGGCACGGAGAAACTCATGTTATGTTCAAATTTCAAACTGCTACTTGAGTAACTTCTTAATGGAAATGAGATCATAGACTCAAAAATGTAAGATAATGTGGTGCTGGGCTATCACAACTGGATGAACGCAGACACGAAAAATTGCAAGTGCAGCTGAACCTGCACCTACACCAGTAATTCCATCAAAACATTTCACTTTGCCCCAGCATTTAAGTATCTGATCATACAACAAAGGTACCCCCAAGCTACCTCTACAGTCTTTTCGTCTCAAACAGAGGGTTTGAGACAGAGGAGGGGAATAGAACTTTTAAAACTCATCTCAACCAGCCACTTACTTTGAGGTTAGGAAACAACACTGAAATACTGTTCAAAGATGACTCCTTGAACATCAAAGCAGAAGAAGCTTTAAAAAAAACCTACGAGCACAGCAATTCCTAGTCTTGTGAGTGGGGGAAGGACACAAGTCACACCTAGTTGAGGGCTAAAAAATAACATCTTGACATTGCACACTTGATTTGGTTTTTCCCCCTGCCTTTTTTATCTGCAAATCCTGCATTTGGGATTCCACCACTTCCCCTGCACGTGTTGATGGCCGCACTTATAGAATAGCACAAGGCTGTGGAGAAGGTTTTGTTTTGTCTAAGGTGCTAAGTATATAATCAGCTAGCAGAAGAAACAAAACTTTTTAACAGGTATTTCAAAGCATATAAGCTCTTCAGTTTAGTTTCAATTGACCAGCCAAAGAAGGTGAGCAGACGAGGCTGGGCAACGCTTGCTCACCTCTGGCAAAACCAAGAAAGATGTGTCCTAGAAAACAATGACATTCTGAAAGTAAAAAAAGTGATGTCATATTCCTATTAAAAAAAAAAAAACTCCCCAAAAAACCCCAAAACAAAAACACCCCCCCAGAAAACCACAGGATTAACATTTAAGTTAGAATAAACCTCCCTCTGATATCACATGGGCTGTTTTTAAATCGCCATTTTAGACTGTGAATTAAAACCACCACTGTATTATACTGATCAAATAGTACTCGTACACACGTCATACCACTTACCTCTAGCTCTACTGATCGCCTGAACTGAATTCTGAGCACTTCTCTGATGGATTCACTGACATTTTGTAGAACAGCTCTTCGGGCCAGCACTGGAAATTAATGTCAGTCAGTAAATACATTTTAGCTTCATCTCCTGGGCTTTGGTGCAAAGCTGCATTTTCAGTTGTGCAATGCATGAAAAAGCAAGCAATGAGATCAACTGCATCAAAAGGATAAGATGATGGACAAGGAAACAGGTAAAGGTGTGACTGTATCCTAGAAAGTGACTACATATAGTTTAAGGATTTTATCTCTCATTTGTTTTTTCCATATCTAATCTTCTAAAGAGCCACTGAGGCATTCAAATTGGATCTGAAAGTTGCAGCACATTCAGTCTGGCCTGTGCACAATGAGCCTGCTGTCATAACACAGTTAAAGTTTTGTAGGCAACGCATGGAATGCAGATGAGGTCAGAAAAAAGCCATGGAAAAAATGCATCTGCTTTCCTCTTAAAATGAAAAGTAAACAAACATGACATTGATTACTGAAAGGGATAGCCACCAAGTAAGAAACTACTTTAAAAACACCACATCCCTATGGATGTCATGTCTGTTACAGTCACACTTGAGATTGTGACTATGGTCAAGGAAACAGCTGACAAGTGTTGTGTTGTCATTCTGCATTTACTTTCCATCAGTAACTTGTCTACAAAACTACTCAAATTACCGGTTTAAAAAAACAAAATTATTCCTCATCTCCAGCACAGCCAGCTCACCTTCATATCTGGAGGATGAGATTATGTGTTGCTTACCACAGAACATGCAGCACTTTTGCCGCTGCCCTAGATTAGTTCACTGGTATTGTTTTGTTAACAAGCTAGGAAGAGGCAGGGAAACACCAAAAAAAGCAAACACAGATGCTGAGACAATTAATTTTGAAACACACTAAGGTCACTTTTTCTGGTTACAATCACACCAAATCCAATTAAAGTATGGAAGGAGGGAAAATACAAACATAAGATCATAAAGTAAAATTATAAAAAAAGAAACAAAACTCAAACATTTTTTTAAACCAACTTTCATTGGTTCTCTTTCATATTACAACATTACCTGACATGCAGGTTTTTTTACAAACAGCAGCAACAACTGAAAGGAGAAACTTACTCAGTCAGAACATTTAATAGTTTGGCAGAACCGTGACAGTAAGATTCATTTACAACCCATCAAATGATAGAGCAGCCTCTAATTCAGTACACTTCTATATAGGCCATCAGCAATTTTAGAAGAAAATTTCATTCTCTGTGCAGCATAATGTACATGTAACTCACTAATCACAACAGCCTTTGTTCAAGTGAATTATATTATTTTCAAGAGTAAATGATAAATCAATACTTTTATAGATGTTTGTCTAAATTTACACCATATTTCTTTGAAAGGTTCACTTAGCTAGTTCAACAACTGCAATTTAGCTAGGGCTTCTGAAAAACAAAATAAGAATGTTAGAAATATCTTACCCGCAGTGACTAAGTAAGCATCAGGAACCGTAATGTCGCAGACGTAGGGTTGCCTAGTAGTGGTCACGGCAGAGGTTATGATGACAGGTTCAGACGGAGTAGTGGTCGCCAGAGGGGTAGAGAAGAATGTCCCCAGGCTGCCTGCAGCAGTTGTGCCGCGGCTGCCCATTGCACTGGCAGCAGTGGTCGTGGGGACAGTGGTGGGAGCAGCCGATGCATCAGTACCAGCAGTTACACTGCTTCCTGCTGGCACTTCATATCCATCGGGAGGGCTAGAAGTTGGAGGAAATTGCGTGGGAGCAAAGGACGTGATCACAGACGGAGATGCTGTAGGAGAGGGCATCACACTGCTGGTGTCAGCACGTGACGTCAGGTTGTCAGGGTCTGCGGGAGGAAGGGCTGTGTGGGCACTGCCCTCGCTGCGAGATGTTAAAATCAGCGTGGGGTTAACTGTAGCACCAATATCCTCATCAGAAGCCAGAGCAGTTGAGAGCAGAGATGAAGATACATTTAAGACAGGAGTTGCCGGAAAGGTAGTAAACAAAGAGATCAGATTTCTTTCATTGAGCAAGACGCTACTGGTAACAGACTGGGTGTCGGACACAGGCAGCACCAGGGTAGGAACCACAGAGTGAGAGGCGGAGAGTGAAGGCTCCAAATGAGAGGTAGCTCCTGTAACAGCTGAGGTAAACAACACTTCAGAGCCTGCTGCCAATACTGAGGGTACTTCCAGAAACACAGACGACTCGGAGTGAAAATCTGATGATGGCGTTATTTCAGGAACATGTGCACCTGGAACAGAGGATGCATTTGAATAAAAGTATGGTGTTTGGCCGAGAGGGAACTGAGAAACCTCAGCATCAGTGGCAGAGCTGACAGTGGCAGCTAACTCCCAGCTGGAAGCATCCTCAGAAAGTACTGATGTGTCAGTGAACAAGGTCTGAGGTAAGAGTGTTGATAAATCACTTTGCACGACCGAGTAAGAATTTAGCATCGCTGGTGATAAAGACGAGTAGCTAGGCTCAGTAAGAAATGGTGTTGATAAAGGACTGGATGGAAAATCTGAAATACTGAAAGATGGTTCTTCCCTTGTAGATGTCTTGTCAAGCAAAAACACAGATTCTGATGGCATTAATTCTGGCGACTCCAGCAAAGTCGTATGACTGACCACAAATGATGCTACCGGCTCACTCAGGATAAAGGTAGAGTCAAACATAACGGTGGTAGCATAAGGAAGTTCTACCCAAGTGCTTGGTGTCAATGAAACTGTTTCCAGAACAGGAAGGGAAAACTGGGCAACAGAGATGTTCAGTGATGTTCCTCCAGGGAGCTGATCGTAAGAAGGAGAAATTGTTACAGGTGTTCTGTTGTTAAGGTCAGTGTCCACAGTGCTTAATAAAAACACACGTGAATCGGGCATTTCTGCGAATCTTGAGGAAAATAAAACAACTGGTCTTGATGGAAAAGAAGTATCAAAAATCTCAGGGGTAGGCTCCTCTAATTCATAACTGTCAGTAATTATAGTTGTAAAGGGAGTTATGCCTTGTACTTCAGAGGCTTTGATGGACAAAGTTTCAACATAATCACCTGAGCCCACGTCATGTTCTGGGGAAAAGCCTGCTTCTGGCAGAAGTGAAACTGAGTCACAATACAGACAGGAACTGTATGATCTCACCAAAGGCACTGGACTCATGAGCTCACTAACAAGCTCTGATCGACTTGGTATTTCTGAACCAGCAGGCAAATCTGGTGTTGTACTGGAAAATTCATGTGTAAACAGGCTGGCATTAAGAACCATATTAGAGTCCGTGGAAATGGCAGCCGAGTGAAGCAGAAAAGACGCAAGTGGAAGACTAACAGGAAACACAGCAGGCTCAGCACTGGCTGCTGAAGCCAGCGTGGCCCAGGGAATGCTTGGAGTGGGGTAGGTCCTTAGACTGAGAGTTTCTGCAGCCCTGCTACTCTCAAATGCGTAAATGTCACCATACGGGTCTGCGGTCTGTGCTGTGGCATCTGGGGTCACATGGCTATTTTTATCCAGCAACGTAAGATGAAGAGGTGACCCTTCTGAAGCAGCCCCAAAAGACAGAGCTGTTAAACTTGCATTTATGTTTTCCCGTGCTGCAACTCCTGCCTCTGAAGGAATGGAAGTGAAATAAATAGCTGTATTTGGAGAGTACAACGGCAAGTCCCTGCTTGCAGTTAGTATTTCACTGTCTGGTACAAAAGGCTTCAACTCTGTAAGAGCGTTACTGTGTTCAGGAACAGCGCTCAATGGAGTCTTTTGCTGTGCTGTTTTTGAGATATCATATGGTGAAAAAAGGGCAGATAACGAAGGTGTTAGCAACACAGTTTCTAATGTTTCTCTTGGTGGCTCTACTGTACTAACTGAGTGATGATCTGTTAAAACTGCAAAAGACTTCAGTGGAGGAGTCCACTGTGCCTTTGGAAATGAGCTAATAAATTCATCGTCACTTAAGAATGCCTCATTGCTTGTTACAGAGACATCTACTAATGGCGTATTTTTCACATCTGAAGTCCTGACCGTTTCTTCTTGGTTAAATAAAGTCACATCAAAGGGAATGGTAACTGATGATAAAACCGTTTGAAGGAAATTACTTTTGTGGGACTCCAAAGTATTTTTTGCTAAGGCCATTTGTGTCCTGCTGCCTGATATGCTTTGGTGCACCTTTGAGGCCATTGAGAAATAGGAAAAACTTTGCTGCTCCAAGGATCTCTCATCTAAATAAAGGGGGAGAGAGAAAAACAAAAAACAAAACCCACTAGATTAGCACAAGCAGTAGGATTGCAATGAGCAAGCCTCACACACAGTATTTCTGGAGACACCTAGCGAGAATTCAAGGGCTGAGACAAAACCTCTCAGTACATTAAAACCTCCATGAGCAAGGCAGCACAAATACTAAGATTCCCTGTGAAACTCCATTCCCTGGAAATGAGCAGGACAACATGAGCTCCTCTCACTCTGCACCTACTCATCTCTCTAAAGCATCACCCCTCCAGCGAGCCCCACAGAAGGACAGAAAGTGGCTCCCTCTTAAGCAAGGCTACAGTGCATGGCAGACAATGGTCTCACAAAGTAAACAAACCAAAAAGGGTAACAAAGAACAACGCAGGGAAAAATTTTGTGTAACTTTAAGTTTTCTGCTTTCCTTCAGTATCACTTCATTTTCTCTGGATTCATTATTTCTTAATATAAGGCTCACTAGCACATCCTTTCTGTTTCAAGGACCAGATCCTCCCTCTCATATGAGAAACGACTGACACTCAGGAGGGAGGAAGAGGAGTTCCCTTTATGCAAGGCAAATGTGAACCTGTTGTGGTTTTGTGTGGTGGGCTTGTCTGGTAGCAGGAGAGGGGCTACAGTGGTGGCTCCTGTAAGTAACTACTAATGTTCCCTCCGCTCCAAGTCTCTTTGGTAGCAGGCAGGAGCACTACTGAGATAAACCCTGTTGAGAAACTGCTGGAAGTTTCCCCAGCTCCAGGCTGGACCTGCGCCTAGCCAAGCCCATCAGTGCCTCTGTGAATGACATATTTAAAAGAGGGCATAGCGCAGGGAGCAGGGGCGCAGCCCTGGGCAGGGCCTGGCCCGGCCAGTCCATCTGTCCAGCTTCTGCCTGCTCAGCCCCCGCCATGGCCCAGCTGACCCAACGCAGCCCCCGCCCGGGAGATGGGAGTTCCTCAGAATCTGCAG